TACCCCAGCAACAATAGACCACCAGCAGCAACATTAGATCTACCAGCAGCCTGCATTAATATACTCTCCAACAGCCAGCAGCAACAATAGACTCCCTCCCTCGATAGTAGATCCATTCCAGCAACAATCGACCCCACTGTAACAATAGACCTCCCCAACAACAATAAACCACCATACAAAAATAGATCCCCTTCAGTGACAATAGATCCACCAGCTGCAAGTATTAATAGACCTTTCAGCACACCCAAGCACCCCTTGCCATTACATACATTCAATGCTGGAGGTGCCGGAACTGCGTTTTTTTTTAGTGCTTGTCTTTCATCTACAGTTAGATTGCCTAATACCTTTCTTATTTGGATATTTTTAATTTCCTCAATTGTAAGTTTCGCAAATGCAGCCACATTAGAATTCAGACTAAGTGGGGGAAACTTATCTGATTTCTTTTTATTAGATTTAGAAAAAGGAGGTTGAGTGTTAGTACCACTTTCCTAACTCTCACCGCAGTTAGTTTGCTCCAGGAGTTGTTCAATACCAAGTAGATCAGTTTAGATCACTGGAGTCTTGATCCTCCATAAGAGCAATTAAATCATCCAGTGTATCACAGTCCTGGTTGCTATTGATCTACTACTACTATTGATAAACTACTAAGCAACTCATTCACTCCCTCATCATATCACGACTTGACTACTGTAACTCCCTCCTCACCGGCTTACCTCATCGCAGGCTATCCCCACTTCAGTCTATCCTGAATACTGCGGCCAGACTCATCCACCTTACCAACTCCTCCGTATCTGCCACCCCCTCTGCCAATCCCTCCACTGGCTTCCGATTCCCCAACGCATAAAATTCAAATTACTAACATTGACGTACAAAGCTGTTCATAACACTGCCCCAAACTACATCACCGACCTGATAGCCTTATACCACCCAAAACATACTCTTCGCTCCTCACAAGACCTCCTTCTCTCTAGTTCCCTGGTCTCCTCCTCCCATGCCTGTCTCCAGGACTTCTCCAGGGCTTCCCCCATCCTCTGGAACTCCCTACCCCAATCCATCAGACTATCACCTACTCTCCTCTCCTTTAGGCACTCCCTGAAAACCCATCTCTTCAGGGAAGCCTACCCCGCCCTCAACTAATTGCTGATCTCCTCCACTCCTCCTACCACTCCATCCCCCACAGCTATCTCCTCCTGTACCACTATCCCCTCCCTCCTAGATTGTAAGCTCCAAGGAGCAGGGCCTTCGAACCCCTCGTGTATTGTATTGTTACTGTACTGTCTCGTGTACTTTCTCCCTTGTAATGTACAGCGCTGAGCAAACTGTTGGCGCTTTATAAATCCTGTATAATAATAATGATAATCTAATTTTTTATTGTGTAACACCTTAATAATGAGTTTTCTAGCAAAAAGGTGTAAATCTTTGGTGATCTCAAATGTATCTAAATTTTTATCTGGGCAAATACTCCTCAGAGCATGTTCTAGGTCAACAAAATGGCAAACTATGTAGGCAAAGAATGGGAACAATTCATGTCAAAAAGAATCGAGGGAATCTGAACTTAACGCTGAACTGAACTCTGAACGCTCGCTAATAGCACCTACAGCTTTTGAGGGTTTTGTTTTCAGAGTTAGCTTTGCTTTGTTTTTTTAGGTATTGCAGGTAGAGATATCCCAGGATGCACCGGGAAACCAGCAAGTGAACCGGAAAGACATCATCAGTCCGGTTCATGTGTACTGTATACCGTATTTTTCGCTCCATAAGATGCACCTAGGTGGAAAACAGGAAAAAATATTCTGAACCAATGGACTGCAGACATAGTACAGGAGATGACCAGAGACTGCGGACATAGTACAGGAGATGACCAGAGACTGCGGGCACAGTACAGGAGATGACCAGAGACTGCGGACACAGTACAGGAGATCACCAGAGACTGCGGACACAGTACAGGAGATGACCAGAGACTGCGGACACAGTACAGGAGTTGACCAGAGACTGCGGACACAGTATAGGAGATGACCAGAGACTGCGGACACAGTACAGGAGTTGACCAGAGACTGCAGACACAGTACAGGAGATGACCAGAGACTGCGGACACAGTACAGGAGATGACCAGAGACTGCGGACACAGTACAGGAGATGACCAGAGACTGCGGACACAGTACAGGGGATGACCAGAGACTGCGGACACAGTACAGGAAATGACCAGAGACTGCGGACACAGTACAGGAGATGACCAGAGACTGCGAACACAGTACAGGATATGATCAGAGACAGCAGACAGTACAGGAGATGACCAGAGACTGCGGACAGTACAGGAGATGACCAGAGACTGCTGACACAGAACAGGAGATGACCAGAGACTGTGGACACAGTACAGGAGATGACCAGAGACTGCAGACACAGTACAGGATATGACCAGAGACTGCGGACATAGTACAGGAGATGACCAGAGACTGCGGACACAATGCAGGAGATGACCAGAGACTGCAAACATACTACAGGAGATGACCAGAGACTGCGGACAGTACAGGAGATGACCAGAGACTGCAGACACAGTACAGGAGATGACCAGAGACTGCGGACACAGTACAGGAGATGACCAGAGACTGCGGACACAGTGCAGGAGATGACCAGAGACTGCAGACACAGTGCAGGAGATGACCAGAGACTGCAAACATACTACAGGAGATGACCAGAGACTGCAGACATAGTACAGGAGATGACCAGAGTCTGTGGACACGGTAAAGGAGATGACCAGAGACTGCGGACATGGTACAGGAGGATGACCAGAGACTGCGGACATGGTACAGGGGATGACCAGAGACTGCAGACACGGTACAGGGGATGACCAGAGACTGCGGATACAGTACAGGAGATGACCAGAGTCTGCGGATACGGTACAGGGGATGACCAGAGACTGCGAACACGGTACAGGGGATGAGCAGAGACTGTGGACACAGGACAGGGGATGACCAGAGACTGTGGACACAGGACAGGGGATGACCAGAGACTGCAGACACGGTAGAGGGGATGACCAGAGACTGCGGACACGTTAAAGGAGATGACCAGAGACTGCGGACATAGTACAGGGGATGACCAGAGACTGCAGACACAGTACAGGGGATAAACCAGAGACTGCGGACACTTTAAAGGAGATGACCAGAGACTGCGGACATAGTACAGGGGATGACCAGAGACTGCAGACACAGTACAGGGGATAAACCAGAGACTGCGGACACAGTACAAGAGATGACCAGAGACTGCGACACAATACAGGAGATGACCAGAGACTGCGGACACAGTACAGAAGACCAGAAACAGTGGACACGGTACAGAAGACCAGAGACTGCAGACCTTTGGGGAGCAGAGAGGGGGGGAGCGGGTACCCGAATTTTGGCGGTGCTTCTCGCGCATGCACAGTGGGCACCCGGCTGTCACAGCCGGGTGCCCATGCTGGCGCCAGGGAGGAATGAGGACACTGATGGACCAAGGAACAGGTAGGACCACTGGAGGTCTGCAAAGAAGAGCTGAGCGGCCAGCCTGGTATTCTAACACGGGGGGAATACCAGGCCAGCCGCTCCATATTCACTGCATAAGACGCACAGACATTTTCCCCCATTTTTGGGGGGTAAAAAGTGTGTCTTATGCAGCGAAAAATACGTTATATTCTGGAAATGTTTGGTGCAGATGTCACATCTGGTGTGCAGCGTGGAGCAGCAGGAAGGTGAGCAGGGTATGGACTAAAGAGGAACAACTAGCAGACAGCACACGTGGTGTGCAATATGGGAACGCTATAGCGGAAGGTGAGCAGGGACCGGAGAGATAGTGGACTGAGTAACAGAGGATCAGCAGAGCTGGGGAACCAGAGCAGGAGAAACTAGCAATGTCACACGTGGTGCGTTACATGAGAGCAACATTGCGGGAGGTGAGCAAGGATCAGAGAGAGAAGAATCAGCAAACAAGAGGATCAGCAGTGCTGGGGGTTACTAGTGAGCAGGGGATCAGCAGAGCTGGGGGTTACTACTAAGTGGGGGATCAGCAAAGATGGCGATACTACCAGGGGCGGACTGACAACTCATGGGGCCCCCGGGCAATAGGGGATCATGGGGCCCCTGTGTCCTTGTCCAAACTCAAAAAAGCCTATAAAAAAAGGTACCAGGGGCATCTCATGGGGCCCCTTACTAACCCCAGGCCCTCAATAGGGGATTATGGGGCCCCTGTGTCCTTGCCCAAACTCAAAAAAGCCTATCAAAAAGGTACCAGGGGCATCTTCTGGGGCCCCCTTCTGACCCAGGGCCCACGGGCAGTGCCCGAGTTTCCAAATGGTCAGTCTGCCCCTGGATACTACTGAGTGAGGCATCATCAGAACTGGAAGCACTACTCAGCAGGGGATCTGCTGAACGAGGGTACTAATAAGCTGGGGATCTGCTGAACAAGGGTACCAATGAGCTGGGGATCTGCTGAACGGGAGTACTGGTCAGCTGGGAATCTGCTGAATGGGTGTACTACTGATCTGGGGTTCTACTGGGCCCCTTCAAAACAATCCGAAAATCAATACACAAAGGGCATTTACCAAGCTCAAAAAAGCATCAAAAACACATCAAAAAAGCATGCTGAAGTGGCCGGCCCTTTAATGTGTGTTGAAGACGAGCCAAGTGAAAATTAGCTCTTTGATTTTTTTCCCATGAATTCTCCTTTCCATTCTATTTACTACCATGTCTTTGCAGTGTTGCATTTTCGGAATAAGCTTTAAACTGGGGTTGGAAGTTCAATGGCCATCTGCCCAGTTCTTACCTCTATGCCTGGCATCAAGGACAATATGTTTTACACACCTATACCCAGAAGAACAATCTGAGCTGAGCAGCCAGTTTTTCACCTGAATTTCTAACCTGAGACTACCTTGGGAGAACTTCTTTAAGACACAACTAGCTTTCTAGCCATTGGCAGATTTGTGTTTTATCAGTCATGGGCTAAAGAGTGACATTCTCACCCTCGGCACTGAGGGCCGTGTGTTCTTCTTGTCCTCATGAATGTGTTTGTTGGTTTTGGATCTCTGGTGCTCGCTGGCTTTTTCACGAGTCAAAGCGATATCCTTAATTGACGTTCGAGGTGGCTTCCTTGGTAAGTTATCATTAGTTGCCACTGGTCCAGCGTCCTGGTTATTTTCCACGAGTGGGTTGTCTGGCCGATCCTCTGGGGCATCTGCATACAAGAAAAGGGAATTTGTGATATTTGTTAGTAGGAACCTACAATATTATATTTTATATATATAACAAATTTAAGACAAGTAGGCAGCATAGTGACTAAAGGGTGAAGCTAAAGCCTTGCAGCAAAATCCAAAGAGTTGTGTTCTTATGTTCCTTATACTGTATGTTCGTATGGGTTTCCTTCTTGTGTATAGATTCCTACCCACCTTCAAAAACCTGCTTCTAGGCAAGTAGGCTTTTATCCAAAATGGACTTGATGTGCACGTATGATTGCAGTACGGACTTTTGTCAAGGAGAGATCTTTTTTTCCTAGGTATTTAACTGCAATCTACATTGTAGACCAGCCTTTCTTGCTCTTTTTAACACGGAGGAACCCTTATTACAACTTTCAGGTCTCATTGAATCCCAGTGTTTAATATACCAACAGCTCATGGTACATTAGTGTGGTGATCAGAAGAATGCTCCTTACATTGGTGATCAGTGGTAAGAATGCTCCTTACACTTGTGGTCATTGGGAAGAATGCTCCTTACATTGGTGATCAGTGGGAAGAATGCTCCTTACATTGGTGATCAGTGGGAAGAATGCTCCTTACACTTGTGGTCATTGGGAAGAATGCTCCTTACATTGGTGATCAGTGGGAAGAATGCTCCTTACATTGGTGATCAGTGGGAAGAATGCTCCTTACATTGGTGATCAGTGGGAAGAATGCTCCTTACATTGGTGATCAGTGGGAAGAATGCCCCTTACATTGGTGATCAGTGGGAAGAATGTTCCTTACATTGGTGATCAGTGGGAAGAATGTTCCTTACATTGGTGATCAGTAGGAATAATGCCCCTTACATTGGGGGTCAGTGGGAAGAATGCTCCTTACATTGGTGATCAGTGGGAAGAATGTCCCTTACATTGGTGATCAGTAAGAAGAATGCTCCTTACACTTGTGGTCATTGGGAAGAATGCTCCTTACATTGGGGGTCAGTGGGAAGAATGCTCCCTACACTTGTGGTCAGTGAGAAGAATGCTTCTTACATTGGTGAACAGTGGGAAGAATGCTCCTTACATTGGAGGTCAGTGGGAAGAATGTTCCTTACATTGGTGGTCAGTAAGAAGAATGCTCCTTACATTGGTGAACAGTGGGAAGAATGCTCCTTACATTGGTGATCAGTGGGAAGAATGCCCCTTACATTGGTGATCAGTGGGAAGAATGTCCCTTACATTGGTGAACAGTGGGAAGAATGCTCCTTACATTGGTGATCAGTGGGAAGAACGTCCCTTACATTGGTGAACAGTGGGAAGAATGCCCCTTACATTGGTGATCAGTGGGAAGAATGCTCCTTACATTGGTGATCAGTGGGAAGAATGCTCCTTACATTGGTGGCCAGTGGGAGGAATGCTCCTTACATTGGTGGTCAGTGGGAAGAATGTCCCTTACATTGGTGATCAGTGGGAAGAATGCTCCCTACATTGGTGATCAGTGGGAAGAATGCTCCTTACATTGGTGGTCAGTGGGAAGAATGCTCCTTACATTGGTGATCAGTGGGAAGAATGCCCCTTACATTGGTGATCAGTGGGAAGAATGCCCCTTACATTGGGGGTCAGTGGGAAGAATGCCCCTTACATTGGTGATCAGTGGGAAGAATGCTCCTTACATTTGTCAGAATTTCTATTTTTATCTTTGCTCCAATACAAATTATAGTTGTTTTAAACTCAATAGGCCCCAAAAATGCAGGGTCACTTTCAGGTCTCAGTTCATGCAGGATGCAATCTCGTTCCCAACTGAGATAGTTTATTTTGCAAATGAAGTGTGTACAGAATTAAAGTGATAGTAAACCCTGGACCCTGCATTCACTATATCCGCTCTCCCCGGACCCTGCATTCACTATATCCGGTCTCCTTGGACCCTGCATTCACTATATCCGGTCTCCTTGGACCCTGCATTCACTATATCCAGTCTCCCACAGTACACAGAACATGGAAATGCAATTATTTTAGTAAATATACAGTATACATACATGATTTTGCATTTCCGGGTAGAGGGTCGCGCGGATGCGGCTGTCAATCACCGGGTCCCAGCCAGTGATTACTCACTGGCGCCCAGTGATTCCTGAGGATCTCTGACGGGGAGAACTGTTTTGCTTACTAACAGTTCTCCTCCCTGTCAGCTCGGGCACACTGCAGAGCACAGCCATCCAAAGGAGTGTGCTTACAGTGAAGCACACAGACACAGCCCCCTAGTAAAACACACACAGCACACAATTAAACCCTTTGATCGCCCCTCATGTTAACCCCTTCCTGCCCAGTGCCATTAGTGTCAGTTCTTTTTTTTTAGCACTTATCACTGCATTAGTGTTACTGGAGATGTCAGTGACCCCAAGTCTGTTCCCCCCCCAGTGTCAGAATGTCTGCCGCAGTCCCGCTATAAGTCACTGATCAGCGCCATTACTAGTAAAAGAAAAATCCCAGTATCTATACCGCCATTTGTAAATGCTATAACTTTCATGTAAACCAATTAATTTACACGTATTGGGATTTTTTTAGCAAAGACGTATCAGTATACATTTTGGCCTAAATTTACCCCAAATATCCAAGTAATTCATGAAGCACCACCAGAGCAAAGTGGTGGATGTAAGGTATTGCAACCTGCAGTTGGAAAACAGGTGTTACCTAAGTCTGACATGATTCAGAGTGACTTGTGCAAAGGGTCAGCAACTAAAGCCGGCCATACACAGGTCGAATTCTGTAAGAATTTTCTTTTGAAAATCTTTTGTAAGAATTTTCGTTCGAATTTCGCACCATTAGTGGGTCACAGCAACGGACGATTTTCCAGCAACCATCGAATTTGAGTGATTGGGCATGTTGGAAATATTTTTAAAAAACGAACGAATTTCTAATCAATGATGGGAGAAACGTGTGAGAAATGTAATCGAAAAAGAAATGAGCGTGAGCTGTGACCTGGAAAGAAAAGAAAATTCTTGGCCATGAAAATTCTTTTCTGTAGGAACATGTGAAATTGTTGCTTGGTTGGTCGAATTTCGAAATCAATGGTGGAGCCATCGGATTACAAAACAAATGAACTTTCAGAATTTCTAAAGAAAATGCATTCGGAATTCGACCCATGTATGGCCTGCATAAGCCCGTCTGTTCTTCTGTGACTCCTTGGGCGGATGGATCGGTGCTGAGGAGCACTGGCGAATGGACCGCATATACAATGGATTGGGATAGTTGGGGCAAAAGGCTAATCTCAATAATAGATGAGGCTAAAAAATAAGGTGCGCCACTTGTAAGGTCTATAGAACTGTCTATAGATAAGGGTGAGCATACACCCCCCCACCCGAGAGCCTTCCACTACCACCACCCTCCATAGACCGGCCACCCTACCCCCCAACCTTCCCCCAGCACGAGAGAGAATGACACTCACCTTCACAGCTCCAGACATCCCCTAGAATGAGAGTGGGGCTCTGCATATACTGTCAAGCAGCCCATAGCCTCTCTCGGATCACACCTGGTCCCCTTGCTGTGTGTGTTCCTTCTTCTGTCCCTTCTTCCAGGGAGTGGTGCTGCCCCCCTGAAAAATGCCGCCCTAGGCAAATGCCTTGTTTGCCTTGTGGTAAATACACCCCTGGTTGGCATGGAGTGTCAAATTGACGTTGTCATTGGGAATAATCAGGGGCAGTTACCTATGCCGAGCCTGAGAAGTTGAGAGTGAGCCCAGCACCTGGCAGCTCTCTGGTGGAGCACCAGGCTGTGGTCACCTGCAGCTGGGAAGAGGTCCCTTTTAAAAGTTGCAACTTCTCAAGTCTCAGCAGGTAAGTCTCCCAGTGTCATAAAAATCTTCGGGAAGGACTTGGTCTGGAGTCAAGTGGCTGGTTTGTAACAAATGTATTAAAGGAGATGCTTGAACTTTGGGATGTACAGCCAATCTATACTGAGGTGTCTCCTCCACAGTCCGATGGTCTGGTACTGAGGAGTAGCACTAGGTGGACCACGAAGAACAGAACAAAGGGGAACAAGAAAGAAGTGGTTTATCTCTGAATTTGTTGATGGTATTAAAAGTTGCCTCTGGGTACGCTGCTGGACTACATCCTGTAAATATGGTATATGAGAGAGGCTTTGGAGAAATTAAGAATGAGTCAAAGGTTTCACCTCCAAACAGCCAGGTGGGAAGCATTTCTGCTGCTATGGTCCAGGATGGTGCTGGTCAGTTGACAGTGAAGGGCGTGTGTACTGCACCAGTGGACAAACCACATGAGATGGAAGAGCTAAGCATGGACCAGAGAACAGCAGAGATCCTGACCAGGGCTCAGATGGATGTGCTTAAGGAAATTGGGGTCACTGGGCCAAAAAGCTGAGATATCAGCTGAGAGTTGTCTGATAAGACAACTGAGATACAGGGACAAATGTTATGTAAAAACTGGCAAAATGGACCAGAAGAGAGCTCATCTGTGCAGGATTTGGATACAGATCCAGTTGGTGTTGAAAAAGTTAAAATGCTGGGGCAGCTGCCTGCAGAGTGCATGACACCAGTATATATATATATATATATATATATATATATATATATATATACACACACACACACTGTATGTTGAAATGTGTTTTTTATATATTACAATATATGAAAAATATTTTTTAAATACATTTTTAAACATACTGTATGTCTTTAAAAATAAATGTAATCTACACTTTGGAATGCATTTACAAATATATGTAAAAAATATATGTTAAAATTACTTTTTTACATATTAAAAAAAATCTGAAGAATATATTTAAAAGTATATATATTTTTTAAAATATTTTTCATATATTTTGTAATGTATAAAAAACACATTTCAACATACAGTATATATATATATATATTGAAATATATTGAGTACGGCCAAAATTATAGCATTTACAAATATATGTAAAAAATATATGTTAAAATTACTTTATTACATATTAAAAAAAATCTGAAGAATATATTTAAAAAGTATATATATTTTTAAAATATTTTTCATTTAT